CCCTCCCTCCCTCCGCCGCCGCCGGCGCCGCCCCCACCGCCTCCCGCCCGCCCCGCCCGCCCCGCTCGCTGGGCCGAGCCCCGGCGCCGCGGCCGCCCCGAGCTGCGCTCCGGTACCGGCGGGGCGGCCCCAGCCCCGGGCGGCCCCAGCCCCGAGCCGCGGCCGCCCCCCCCCAGCGCCCCTCAGAGCCCCTCGAGCCCGCCGCCATGGGCGCCGCGGCCCTGCGCGCCCTGCCCTGGGCGCTGCTGCTGCTGGGGCCGCTGCTGCCCAGGCAGGGCTTGCAGGCCAACCCCATGGTGACCTCCGAGCCCTCGCCGGGCCAGCCCGCCCCGCTGCCCGCCGGGGAGATCGGGGGCTTCACCCCCGCGCCCCCCGCGGCCCCCGAGGTGATCCACCCCCTCAAGGAGCAGCCGGCCAACGGCTCGGGAGAGGGGCACGCCAAGCCCCGCAAGCCCTTCCCCGTGCTGGGCATCGACTACACGCACGTCCGCATCCCCTTCGAGATCTCCCTGTGGATCCTCCTGGCCTGCCTCATGAAGCTGGGTAGGTGGGCGGCGGCGTGTGTGTGTGTGGGTGGGGGGGGGTGTCATGGGGAAGGCGGCTGGGGAGGGACCCCCGGTGTCGTGGAGCAGGGCCTCGAGTGTCTGAAGGAGGGATTTCCCCCTCCCGAGTATCACAGAGCGGGACCCCCCAGCCAAATGGAGCTGTCACCCCCCCAGGTGTCCCAAGGAGGGACCCCCTGGGCATCCCAGGGTGGGACCCCCCAGCAAAATGGGACAGGCACCCCCAAGCATCCCAAGGAGAGACTCCCTGAGCATCCCAAGGAGAGAGACCCCCCTGAGCATCCCAAGGATGGGCCCTCAAGCATTCCAGAGTGGGACCTCCCAGCTGAACAGGACAGACATCCCTGAGCATCCCAAGGAGTGACCCCTGTGAGCATCCCAAGGAGAGACCCTTCTGACCATCTCAGGGTGCGACTACCCAAACATCCCAGGGTAAATTCTCCTACACATCCTATACACCCCCTCCAGGCCCGCTGGGCTGGGGTGGGCACCCCTCTGCCCACGACCTTGGGTCTCTGCCCTGGGCCTGGCAGGCAGCAGCACCACAGCCCCTCTGCTCCCACAGACTTGCTCATCTCCCTGCCCAGGAGCGGGGCTGAAGGTGCTCCCTGACCCCCAACCATCCCCTACTTGGACCAGGTTTGCTTTGACACTCAGGGAGGGAGCGTCCAGGTTGTTCTCTTCCTCTCTCAACCACAGACGCCTTTTGTAACCTTGGAGAAGTCACTTAAAAATCTCCCGGTGCTTCAGCCTCCCCTTCCTCCCCCTCCGCAGCGATCCGGGGTGGGCAGCTGCCTCTGCTGCAAAGCGTCCGGAGGATTCCCGCAGTAGGGATAACGGGCGGCAGGGCTGGAAAAGTCACCTGCTCTCGGGAAAGCATCAGCCTGCCGGGGCGAGGGTGTTGTTGACAAAGTGTTTTCCAAACTTCTGCAGCTGGATCCGTATCAATGGAATTACCCCAGACCAGCGACGTGATGTAACTGCTCCGCACCCCTGGCAGTGCAGGGGCTGAGCTGGCCCCGGTCCTGCCCGTGCTGATAAAGCCAAGAGGGCAGGTGAAATGTTTGCCTGGAGCTGGTGAGGGGGATGATTTGGTTTGGTTTTGTTGCTGTTGTTGTTGTTTTTTAAATTTTGCTCCTCAATTACCGTCAGTGGTTTAAATAACACTCAGGGCAGGGCTTGTGCTTACAGAGCAGTCCAGCTTGCCGAGATAAATCTTGCTTTGGGAGCTTTTTTTTTAAGCTGGTACCTCTTGTAAACTGTGCACTGTCCTGGTCTGGAGGGGTCCAAGAGACCCCCAGGAGCTCAGATCCGTATTCCTAAAAATATCCCATCCCCTTCCCAGCTTGGTGTGAGCGTGAGTAGGCAGGTAAACCCCCATTTTCACAACCCCTCCTGGGTGTTTCATTTACGTGTGGGCGCAGGAGTGCAAACACTTCAGACCCGGAGGCTTGTCTGGGAGACAGGCAGTCAGGGCAGGGCGTTGGATTCACGGAGGTTTATCCCTTCCTGGCTTTGCCCAGAGTGATTTCCAAGCACGTTCAGCTGGAAGGGTGCCTCTCCACGGGGGGGGATCTCAGCCGTGAAACCTCCTTTCCCAGGGCTCCCCCGGCGCGCGTTGAGCGAGCTGTGCGGGGCCGTTGCACTGCGCTCTCAGCGCTCCTGCCTCGGAGAGCAAAGAGTGATGAAATCAGGAGTATCTGTGTGCGGAAGCTGGTGGAGAAAGGAGGGGCTAATGGCCTGCGGCCCTGCCTGCTCGGGGTGTGCGTTGGGGAAACCGCCGCTGGAAAACACCAGAATGGGCATCGGGAAGCGGCTCCCGGGGGTCGTCCGAGGTGGGGGACGCGGGGACATCCTCCCGTGGGCACCCTCCATCGTCATCGGCCCCGGGGGAAGCTGTTCCTGCCGTCCTTGCCTGCAGTTGGGGCTGGTTTGTGCTGCAGGAAAAGTTATTTCTGTCGGCGAGTTCTTGGGTGTTATGAACATTATGCAATTGTGCGCGTTTAAGGGGTGTATTTTAGGAGAGGCTGCAGGTTTGGCGGGGGTCCTTGGGGATGGAAGGTGCTCTGCAGAGCTCCAGGGATGCTGATTATGCCAAAATCCACACCTTAGCTTACCTGCATCTCTGAGAGGGGCTGTGGCAGCAGGGCAGTCCTGGGACATCCTTTTCCTTGACCTCCTCTCCGTGGTTTGGATGGGGATAGCGTGGCTTGTTCATGTTGTCTTGGCGTGTAGTTCCCAAATTGCTGGTACAGCTCCCTCCACTTGTGAGCTGCTGCTCCCTGTCCAAATCCCAGCCTTGTCTATCTCACCACGGATCACAGGATGTTGTTCAGGAGCAGCAAAAGAGGCTTTTTTCCACACAGGAATAACTCTTACACAACCGACACTGCTGTGCAGTACAAACTGGGATGATAGGATGAGCCACAAGCATCTCCAGGCTTCCCTAATAAACACGACAGGGTTTGGAGCATCCAGGTTCTGTGTAGAGGGGAAGGGGGGTGATAAGCAGAAGAGGAATTTGCAGTGCTTCCTCCTTCCCCCCATCCTGCCAGTGTGAGTTTATTGGTGCATCAGGGTGACCCTGCAAAATTCTGAGGTGCCAGGGGCAAACATCTTTGCTCTGAGAAGGGGAATTCCTGCAGCGTGGGCTGTGTGTGACAGCTGGGCACCTCCTGACTTCCCTTCCCCAGCTCTGGGGCCCTCTTTGCTGGGTTGGAACTGGTGACTGAGCCGTGTTGTTGCTACAAAATTGAGAGTCTCCAACCCTCTGAATGGCTTTGGGGTGTTATCCCCTGGCACAGTGCAGGGTGACCATGTAGGCTCAGAAGAGTTTACAGGGCTCTTCCCTGGGCCAGGAGATGCAACCTGACCTTTGTCCTGTTGTTTAGTCCCCCCCTTGCTCCTCTTGACACTTCAGACACATATTAAGGCTTAAGTACATCCAGGTATTGTCCGTTTCAGGTGATTTATCCTCTCTCCAGCAGCCCAAACTTTAGGTTTGTTTGGGGAATCCAAGGTGTGAGTTGAGCCCTTTCACTCTTCATATCATTTTTGTAAAGTGCCTCAGAGGATGTCGGTTCCTGGCGGGTTCCCCACCTGACAGGGGACAGAGGGACTTGTCACCCCAGCGTGTCCTGCAGGCGTGGGCTGGTTCTGCTTTGTTAATCCCAGTAGAGAAGGGGAAGGCTGGTGCTGGCTGCTTTACTTAACAATCACGTGGTATTTTAAGACTGTGTAGGAGAAGAGGGGGTGAGGGGCAGCTACAACCCTGTGCAGACCACATCTGGTGGTGACTTGACTTTGCCAGGAGAAACCTTTGTGGCTGAGGCTTGTTGTCTCAACCTGTTGCATTGCTGCAGGTCAGCAACATCCCAAGCAGAAGCCCTCTGTGCCCTGTATCCAAGGTTTTGTAGGGATATTGTACGGGTTCCTTCCCCCCATGCCCATGGAGTGGTTGGGAAGGGCTGGTGGGGGTTCTTAGCACGAGGACCTGGTTTCCTGACTCTGAGGACTGACCTTTCGGCTCACTTGGCTCCTGGAGACGTTCAGGGGAATTCAAGTTTGACTGTAAATACTTTTCTGTTTCAGGGGAAAGGGAAGGAGTGAGTCAGGAGTGTAAATAACAGTGTGGGCAGCAGTCCCTTTGCTGGCTCTGCTGGGGCCTGGTGGGCAGAGCTTTATGGTGGACCACCAGCTCTTACTCACCTTGGAGAAGAGCTGGGGCTACTGTGTCTCCAAAGCACATCTCAGGCCCTTCCTTCTAAAGCCAGAAAGCACAGCAGTCATTTTCCATTAGGACCTGAAAGTTGGGTGAAAGAAGCCTCTACTTCTTTTCTCTGGGAGTCCATCTTCCTGACTGCAAGATGGAGAGAGACTTCAGTCCAGGGCCCTTTTGGCACAGGACGAGGGGTAGTGGTTTTAAAGTAGAAAAGGGAAGGTTGAGATTAGATATAAAAAATAAATAATTTACTGTAATGGTGGGGAGGCACAGGTTGCTGTGCCAGAGAAGCTGTGGCTGCCCCATCCCTGGAGGTGTTCAAGGCCTGGTTGGATGGGGTTTGGAGCAACCTGGGCTAGTGGAAGGTGTCCCTGCCCACGGCAGGGGGTGGGGCTAGATGGTCTTTGAAGGTCCCTTCCAACCCAAACCATTCTGGGATTCTGTGACCCCAAGTGCCCACCATGCCACTCGATCACTCCCCTCATCAGCAGGATGGGACGGGAGAACCTAGGATGGAAAAAAACCTAAGGGGTCAAGATACAGGCAGTTTAATAAAGCAAAAGCAAAGGTCGTGTGCAGAAACAAAGGGAAACAAAAGATTTATTCTCTACTTCCCATCAGCAGGCGATGTCCAGCCCCTTCCCAGGAAGTAGGGCTTCAGTACATGCATAGTGGCTGCTCCGGAAGGCAAATGTCATAATAACAAATATCCACCCAACTTCCTCCTTTCTCTGGGCTTTTATGTGGTATGGAGTGTCCCTTTGGTCAGTTTGGGGCAGCTGTCCTGGCAGTCCCTCCCAGGATCATGCCCACCCCCAGCCTGCTGGTGAGGGGGGAACGCTGGAGGCAGCCTTGATGCTGAGCAGTAGCCAAAACACCAGGGTGTTATCAACCCCCTTCCAGCCACTGATACACAGCCCTGTGAGGGCGAAATGAAGTCCAGCTCTTCTAGAGCCAGAGCCAGCACATGGGGACTGGATTCCCTGCGTGTCCACGCTGGTGACTGCAGCGGAGGGTCCCTGCAGGGCACGACTTCACAGCTGAGCTCCTCGGCTCGCTGATGCGCCAGACGTGCACGCTGCCGCTCGGGTTTGGAGCCTGTAGCAATCACTGAGTCATTGCTCGCTCTCTCTCTCTCTCTCTCTCTCTTCTTCCCCCTTCACAGCACTCAGCTTTGCTGTGTGTCTGGGGTGTTCCCTCTCCCCTCCAGATCGTCTGGCAGCCGCCAGCACCATCCAGAGACATCCCCAGTGCGTGAT